CCTAGTAACATAGTTTCAGACCTGGGTCCTTTGATCAAATAGGCAATAATAAAACCATTTTGCAAACATCTAACCTTCAGCGTGACATAAAAGGAAAATGTAAAAGTAATTTTAACATGTAGTTTTTATATTTACTGCAGAGAACTACTGCTTACCGACCACAAACATATTTCCCAACGTTGTGTAATTGCATTCGCTTCTAAAGACTCGCATAAAAGCGAATTATGGGGCAAAGCAGTGCTTAAAAATTTCATCGTATCAAAGCTTGCTTGTTGTTTAATTGTGCTATTCACAGATAAAATCTCTTATGTTATTTAGATTAAATTAAATTTTATAATTTACTGGAATTTAAGTACATTTGATAAAATATTGTTACATGTATTTACTTTTTTATTTTATAAAATGAATAACCTTTAAACTATAGATATATAAATAAGAAATTGTCAAAGTTTGACGGTCACCAATAATCTCAATATGGTTAAATTCGATTTATGCAATGATTGAAATGATTGCTGGCAACACTAAAAGAAGTGTCATTCTGTGAGGTATAAATGAAGCTGCAAGAAGCATTTCATGGTCTTCTTCTTCGGCTGTCAACAAGAAGTATACGCGGTAGTGCTGTCCAATCAGTATCCTAGATTAAATCGTTATAGTTGTGATTTTTCAGTCTAAAAGTGATAAAATAAGTAAATATACCAGTGTTGTGCAAAGTGAAACTACGGTGATTTGGTAAAAGTATTTATATTTCTACCTTCTTAGCTCAATAAAACAAAGTAAAGATAACATGATTAAAATATATGGGTTCATGAAATTTTCCAGTGTCTGTCCTAGTCTGAATTTTATTCAGATCATAGAAGATACTCCTGCTGTATCTAATATAATTAGATTACAGCAGGAGTGTCCTCTATGTAAGAGTAAATTATGTAGTGTATTTACCATTTAGGGTAATATCTGGGATTACCATCCATTGAGTTTGTCCAATAGCATTGCAATATTAAGCCAATGAAAATAATTAAAAATGTAACAATGATTGTTAGAGAAATATTTTTAAATTATCATTTACATAGTACCTACAAGATTTCCTTACTTTGGGATGTACCTTCATGCCCTATCATGTTGTCTTTTATACGTAACAGTGTAGGCTCATAAAGCTAGATTTATCTACGTTTTCCGACTTCACTTACTCACAATGACTTATTAAATATGACAGCTAGTGATATTCCAAACTAGTTAAGATAAAAACACAGAAATTGATAATCAAATGGCAAGTCGACATCTGCAGCTACGGTCGAATTTATGTTACGAAATGACGAGCTGTCTTTTTACATGAAATTAATGTTACTTTACGCTTTTAATTCCATTATTCTCTACACAACTAGGAAGTGAAGCTAAAGTAACCCAAGTACATACAGCAGTAAAACGTTCACACTCGTAAACCACTACGATACGGAAATCGAGGAGAGTAGTTATGGTACAAAATGTTTGAAGATATTTCTTTTGAAATCATTGTTACTTTACGCATATTACTTTAATTATTCTCTATAGCTAAAGTAATTCAAGTATATACAGCAGTACAATGTTCACACTCTCGTAAACAATACGACAATGCGGAGATTGTTTATGGCACAAAATATTTGTTATATCTTCAATTACAAATATTTTATCGGTCGACCTTTCGGAATTAAAGCGACAGGAGTACATTGAAACCATCGTTAGCTTAACGCCATTGGAGATGACGGTCTTAAGATATGTCCATCTCTTTTCAGCTTCAATTTCTCTGAAAAAGATTGATGATGCCTGCTCAGTTAGATGTTGAAAAGAAATCTGAGGAGACAAAATGGAAGGTCTGGCAATCTGATGCTTGTCGTTACATTTCCCTAAATGAAAATTATATGAATAAACCAAACATTGAGCTTATTTTCTTAAAAATATTACTTAATGATGTTAATGCCTTTTTTAGGGTTCAGTACTCAAAGTGACTCCACTGTCTGTCTGTCCGTCTGCAACCAGTCTAGGGACTGTCATGAACCGTGGTAGTTAGACAGCTGAAATTTTCTAAAATGATGTATTTCTCTCTAAAAACCGGAATAAAAAATACTTAAGTGGGGCTCCCATACAACATATATGATATTTTTGCCGTTTTTATAGATAATGGTACGGAACCGCACTTGGCCGCCTTTATGACGACACCTAAAAGCGACAACAACTTCATGATCTCAATCAATAACAACCTTTTGCCATTTAACTATAACTCCAAGTCATTTTATTAAACCGTTATCGATTGCATTTACTGTATCATTTCACAAACAAAGAATACTGGCACACAGGATAAAAATTTTAGTTATTTTTCTTTGTTGCGCTAAAGAAGTAAAACTTCTAAAGTGCGTAAGCACACACCTTTTTATATGCAAATGTAGTTAACGAGTCAAGGGTTGAAGAATTCTATGTAAGCTCCTAGATTCTCCATTTAATTAGAAGCGGTCCAACGTTATGGCCGCGGGTGAACGTGACAGGAAAGTTTCGGTCCTGCTGATTTTAGTAATTTGCTTTGAAGATGCCATTTCACGTCCAATAGGGTGGTCACAATAATTACATATCTATGTGCAACACCCATATTCGTCTAGGAATATATCTAATGTTATGGAATAATTTGTCTAAGGTCTTGCGATTGGCTATTGCCCTCTTATAACTAAAATAATAGTATTATAACGTCACGACTTAAATTCATTATCACGATTAAATTCTTGTAATAAGCTGTCTGTTCACAAGACATTTGTGTATTACGGGGAATAACTCGGTAAGTAGCATGATGGATTTTCTAAAGTACAAGTGTAAAATCCATGTACTGAAACACAGTTGGCTATGAATGTTCATTGTTCAAATGGAACACACACACAAAGGGGAGTAAGTGAATGTTTGCTACAAAGCACAATAGGAGTGATATGGACCTACACAAAGACTTTAATTTGCTACAAACTAATATGTCTCTAAGATGGTTATGGCATTATAAAATTTTGGGAACAGTTAAATGTTTCCCTGTTAGAAAAAAAAGGAATCTTGGAGTGAACATTAGTCAATCATTAGTCATTAGTCATTAGTCAAACATTAGTCATTAGTCAATCTTGGAGTGAACATTAGTCAAAATGAAAGTGGCGTAATTATTTTGAACGAACCTAGTCCAACTTCATTAACAGGTTCTACACTATGAGAATTGGCAGAATTTTTAATGGTAATATTGTGTAACTATAAGAGTTTTGTATATTAGTTACCCCATTTTATTCGCACCATTGTGACAATAAAATTTATTTGTGATGTTGATAATTTACTTGATAAATTATATAAACAGTTTGATCATTTTTGTCTGACTATACTTCATGTATGACATCATGTATGGCTATACTTGAATTAACAATGAATTTAATTTCTGCGGGGATAAAACATTATGTTTTGTGCGTTAAAGGCATTATTCCCATTTATTTAGCAGGATATGAGGCAAACAATCATGATATCCTGAATAATTATGATAGTCTTAGTTTAAGGATTGTAGTTGGTTCTGTTCTTAACCCATTTCCATTTTTCGATTGGATTAAGTCGAATATGCAAAATATGAACATTCATGGCATTGAATTTTAATACCACATTAGTTCTCTTCCACACATTAATTCTCTTAGGAACTCATTTTTTTGATCCTACAGTATGTATTTTTTTAATTTAATCTTTAAAACTTTTGAAACACTGTTATTAAAATGAATTAAAAAAAATATTTTGCTTCAAAATACGTTAATTACATTTAAAGTTTAAAAAACGAAAGCAGCGAGTTATCGATTACACAAAAAGAAATAAATAAATAGTTTAGGTAACAATGTTCAAAGCAAGCAATTTTTAATATTTAAAATTATTACCCGATTTAAAATAAATTCTTTATTTTGTTTCTTTTTACTCTTAAACATTCAAAATAAGAAAAATAAACAATTAGAAATTGTGTTTGTTTACCCATTATAATTAAAAGGATAATCATAAAGGAATCCCATACAAAAGCCTCTCTCAGTGAAAATTAAACTTTGTGTCTTCCATACACAACATGCACGCCTCTACAAATAAATGTGCCTACATTTGCTACGCCGTAGGCATTAGTAGCAGTTGAGCTACGGTAGCTTAGTGCCCTTAGTGTTAACGCGGTATTGTTTCAACAGGAAATTAAAAATCTGTTAACTTAAAACTGTGGCAGACACACTCAACTCCAACAGATGTGTTGGCTACGAACTCGAGCGCTCTACACTGTTTAAACGCTTTGCAGAGAAAGGAGTAAAAAAATAAACTGTACTTTACGCTGCTAGAGAGAAAACGTACGTTAAAACCAAAGGATTATTAAATATTTTAACAAATGTTTGAGTTTGAGATCTCACTCCAAATGTAATCGTATTTAAGAATTTCCATTGAAATTCATATTTTATAAAAGTTGTTAACGTTCGTCTTTCATTATTTTGTTCTGTTTTTAAAATTTTAAATTAACACGTTACAATAAAAAAAAACTGTTTTGGTATGGCCACTTTATTAACACATCAGTCATTTGACAAAAATGTTCTGAAATTCCTAGGAATTGCCAACATCAAGAGAGTCTATCTGAGTATTAACAGTCACGTCCCAAAGGGTTTGGGCTTAATCTATGACTAAGTTATTTGCACAATTGAAGAATATAGAACTCACAGCAAGAAGTTATGCCTATTGACCTTGGAATTTTAAAATCAAGGCCCAAATTTTCGGTGATCCCGTAACGGGTGAGTCCTTGCATAGTCATTTTAAGGAAAAATGAAATCGAATCATTTATGTATTCATCGACATAAGATATATAAATTTCATCTATCGATATTCATTTTTTAAATGTAGGTACTACCGTTTAGTAATAAGGTTCCTCTAATGGGGAAGAAACGTTATAAAAGAACACCAACCCATAAATTAAAGAAAGCCACTGACAGATGATTAATATACTCAACACATACCTCTCCCAGCTCAGCCTTCGAGGGGCGTCTGCATTGGCCTCCTCGGGCGTGCCTCGCACTCCTTGTGTCAGCAAACGCGCTATTCTGGACCCGGCACCCACGCTGCTGGTACTGGAGACTGATCCGCGAGGAGTTGGTACTCTACAACAGGACAAATTGTTTTAAAGCCGAGTCCAACCACACTGTTTGACACTTCGTCAGTTAGGCTTAGAAGAAGAGGGTTAAGCGACACATACCCAATATGCCTGTGGTAGGGTCACGCAACAGTGTTCGCTGTTGGCAAAAATTGTGAGTGAGGTAGCCTGGGCCCGCTTTATTAAAAAGTGGCAACGCATTTGCAAACCTACGGGTGTTGCAAATGTCCATGAGTAGCGGTTATCGCTTAAGATCAGGTGAATGCCAGCTTTTTTGCCACATTCCCAAAAAAAAAAACATACCCAATATTTTCGTAAATAAATTAAAAATAATGAATTTGAGAATTTAGTTTTTTTTATGTTATAACGGTGCTAAAGATCTGGCGTCAACTGATGTTAAGAGATACGTTGTCCATAGGCTTTGGTTAAATGCCCTGATTATCTCCATCCCTAGACGAAATGCTCATTTGTCCAAAAGCAAAAACTATTGCGAGTCTCTACAATAGTCTTTATGTTGCGTCTGCGTAGAATAGGCTGAAGGCGTAACATTCAGACAGAAAGACAGATATACATAAAAATACGTACATAAATTATAGCCCATGTTTTAATCTGAATACTAATCCATTCAGTAGTATTTGCGTGAAAGAGTAACAAACAACCATACAAACTTTCACCTTTATAATATTAGTAAGGATAATCGAACACTAAGAAAAATGAAATAAATTTGATCATTTTAATAATTTATAGACTGTTGATGCTGCGAAACAACTGTATCGTTGTCAGAATGAGTTCTAAAAAATTAAGCTTTAGGTTTCATGTATAAAAAAACAAAGCAACAATACATTTTCTATTTGACATCGTCCTGTTAATATTATTAACTTACATTTAACACGTGTACTTATTTGCCATTTAATGATATGCAACATATTGAGATATTATACAACAGTTTGAAAATTAATACAAAGTTTGCTATTTAGGTACAATGTAACTTTACCTTCATGAAAAATTCGGAATGGGTTAAACGGTATAGGGAACCCAATACATATGAGCAAATATTGTGGCTTATTAATTTAAAGATAAATTCCTTAAATTACGAAGTAACACACACAAAGTACAAAGTAAATTACTTAAAGTTCGCGGTTTTCAGATGGCACTTTACATCAATGAACAATTAAATTATTGCAGTTCTTACATGAACAACGGACAGCTGTTCAATATATTTATTTTATATATAATTATTACTCTTATAATAAAATAAATTAATAATTAACCGTGTAACTTAAAAAAGCTCGGTTAAACGTTGAAAGACGAAAAATATGTCTTAAGGCGAATGCGATTACTGTTAGTCTTTATTATAGATCGTAACAATAAATAGCGAAAAAGCAACATATTAAAGAAATGAGAATTTAGCTTTCAAAAATAAAAAGGTGATATATTAGAATAACGTTTCATGTAGGTATTATAAAATGTTGTTTTTCTCCTTCTAAACGTTGTTTAACATTTTATTTTCTTTTTAAAATTTTGCCCTTAATATAGGATAACATTATCCTGTGTAAGAGGAGTTTACAAACATAAATTTCACTTAGACAAACATACAGATTCGAAACAGTTTTCTCTGGGTGACACAAATATTTGTCCCGTGTGAGAATGGAACCCACGACCATTGGTGCCGAAGCCAATACCTTGACAACTGCGTTACGATGTCATCACATGACGCTTATATACGAATATTGATATAATTAACGCCTACTTCCTGAATAAACGCCTAATCAATATCTTCCGCAAGAACCAGGTGCCATTAGAAATATACATTACTATGCCACGTCACTACGCTTGACTATTTTTGGTACGTTGCTTCACTTTTTTATATATATCCCCATATATTATATCCTCATTTGTGGAGAACAGGCCGTTTAAACTCAGACAATGTTCCGTACGAGTCATAAAGGTCGCTTAAGGTCAATAACGTTGAACAGTTCATTGTTGTAGGGGGAACGTCGTTGTTGTGAAATTTACGGCGCAAGTTGTCGATACAGACTTTCCGTGACGACCGCTACACGTTCCGTGGAACGTTCACTGAATAAATTGCTCGGTAAATGTTACGTGAAAGCGATATATGTTAACATTGAAGTGATACTACATTTATTCTTTTCTATTTAGTTTTGATGTATGTGATTGCATAGTTGGTGAATTTGCAGGTATCATTTATATTATCACCAGTTCACTGATTTTATTACCTTAATTTTCTATTTTATTTTAAATTTCTGACATTTCGAATACTTCATTTATGGCCATGGGATGGACAGAAATATTGTCTTCGTATCACCATTAAATAGAGCTTTTTTATGGAAGAGGAGGCAAACGAGCAAATGCGTCACCTGATGATAAGTGACAAACGCAACCCATGCACTCTTGCGACATCAGAGGAGTCTCCACTGCTTTGTCGAGCTACCGTCAACGTTAAAATATTTATTCTTCATTTAGTGGCCATGCAGCATATTATGATAACTTTATCTGGAAGACTTGCTATGATGATGTACTAGGATTACATGTTATTGGCAGTGTCAATAAAATAGCACAATATCATTAGAACAGGGTGGTGGAACAAAATCACCTTTTCTGTTGAAATTTGCATTTTTCTGTAACAACCTCTTCGGATAATCTTTGGCAGTTATTCTTTTTGACAAATCTGAAGTATTGAATGGGGCATTTTCGTAGCATGGGTATATTATGTAAGTATTGATTGCTTTTCTTTCTTTTTCCATTATAGGAGAGATCACACTCACAATCAAACCTATATATATACTTCTGAATCTTGCAGATAAATATTACACTTGTCAGATAGTATAAAGTTTTCTAACGTTTCTCTAGTTTTATAATGTTTGAAGGAAGCCTGCCTCAAGATGTGGCCAATCTTGTATGTCAATCCTCTTAAATACGGAGGAATACCAAGTATTTACTTCTATATGGCTGATTCACTCGGTCCAAGCGGTTAAAGCCGAATCAATGAACCCGACGTCCGAGAAGAACTGTGTCTATTAGCGCAACGATAAGTCAACGGGCGGCAATAAAGCCTCGCGTCGTTCCTTCGGCACACTCGTAAAAGCATTTCGATTGCGACACGCCTCGGGACCCGTGTAAAGCCGAGCTTAATACATGGCCGTGGGCAAACTCTTGATTATTGGTAACAAATTTCTGAGATTCCTCTAATGATTTGATCCAATGTTTATAAATACTTACACTATAAATACACTAACCTATGGTTTTTCATGCGCAAGTTTTTTTTCGCCCTGCCCATATTAGCAACATTTTGTTTGAACAATAAGATTTTCAAAAAAATGTTGCTAATACCAAGAAAGTTTATTTTTCAAGTAAAAAACGCAGCCGCTCACTTGACAAAAAACTTCAAGATAAAAGGGAATTTGATCCCATTTTTATTGTATTTTGTTTAAACTTAACTCTTGAGTTGAAGGGTGTGTGTTTGATCCGCACTGTTAGAAAAATATTGTGTGATAAAGATGGATGGTGTTTGGATGTTTAGTTATCTGTCTATGTTTATTAATTAATTTACAAAAACAACTATGTTTATCAGTTCCCAAGTATCTATAAAAGACAAGTACAAGTTTTGTTTAGTTTGGGACTAGATAAACTTTTGTAAATATGGAGAAAAAAGACAAAAGCCGTAATACTTTTCTGTTGCACCAATTTATTTACATAATTTCATAGGTAAATTAATCTTTAACTGTGAATCGTTTTAATAGATTATAATATGTTAAAAATATATAAGATAGTAATCAAATTCAAATACATAATATCTAACAAGGGGACTAATTATTCAAAATGAAGCCAATATTATAATAGTCGGTTTTAGCTCTACCTCGTAACGCGATTAGTTTGTAGAAACTACACAATTTGCTATCAAAGTAACTTGATAACATTGACTGTGATGAATCTGAAATTGTGTTATGAATTTATAATTATGTTAAAAACAATTTTCAAACATCGCGGAATTATAGCTTGGAGCGAAGCGACTCTTTAATTATACTGGGTTGTCAACTGTCAGAAAATGGACGCGTTTTGTTGGAAATTTTCGGTGATTAATTGTTAAATAAAATCAGTCATTTGACTGAAAATACTTAAATATATTATTTATCAGAGTATTGCACGCTAACTCTTTGTTTTATTAATATGTTACTAATGCTGCAATTACGTTTTTTAATATAAATGAAACTATGTCGTTTTATGCGTCAATGAATGAATGAATGAAATATACTTTATTGTACACAACCAACGGATATTGAAGAATCAACTAAAATAATACAAAACTGTACAATAGGTGGCCTTATCGCTAGGAAGCGATTTCTTCCAGGCAACCTAGTAAAAGGAAATAGTAAAAACAGTAGCATTGGGTAACGGTACACTGAATTAATAAGAGAAACTTATAAGTCAAAATATAAATACATAATGCGTCAATTAATTAGTTTTAGCATAAATGTTTTATTACATTTCTGATGTGGTTTTAAAACTCCGCTAAAGTGAAAGTGTATTAAGTCATACTATGTAATAGAAACATATATCAGTATTTAATATATAAATGCCCATAGTCATGACAGACTAATCTATCTAAGATTATGTATTCCGTATCAAACTTTGTTTTATGTTCTATGTCTCCGAATAACATTTGAATTAACCGTTACAAGTATAATTCAAAAATCAGTCGTAAAACCTGACATCGTTCCGTTACACTCGTAAAACCATATAAACGATGCAGGTCAGATTTCCCGGAACAGGTTTTATTATACGACTAAAACATTAAATCTAAGAGAAATCGTACAATCGATACCATGATAATCTTTATCCTTTAACCGAGCAATTCTTGTATATATATATATATATATATATATATATATATATATATGTATTTTTTTTTGAAGGAGAGTTTGGCAAACGATCTATTGGATCACCTGATGTTAAGTGATAACCAAATAGATAGCAAATGCGTTACCG